TGACCTGAGCCGAAGGCAGTCGCTTAACCAACTGAGCTACCCAGGCGCCCCACTGCTAGCTTTTCTTAACCTGACTAGTGCAAGTTCCTCCCAACTTTCCTAGTGGCATTTAATGAGAATAAAACAACATTCAAAACAAAACAAAAACAACTACTACCAGGGCTCCCAGGTGGCTCAGTTGGATGAGCGTCCAACTCTTGATTTCGGCTCAGGTCATGATCTCAGGGTCGTGAGATCGAGCCCCGTGTTGGGTTCTGTGCTGGGCATGGAACCTGCTTAAGATTCTCTCTCTCCCTCTTTCTTTGTCCCTCCCCTCCGCTCTTTTTCTCTCTCTAAAATAAAATAAAAACCATCTCTACTTAGAAAAATGCATTCCAAAAATAAACTTCCTTCAAAAACACCAAAGTAAAGCATTATAAAATACAATTACCATAAAGGTATATGATAAAGCAAATATAGCAAACTATTTACAACTACAAATATATAGTAACTTGTAGAACCAAAATGATGAGCACGTAGGTGTTTACTATATCATTCTTTTGACCTTTCTGTATATTTGAAAATTTTCATAAAATATTAGAAAAAAATAGAAAAAGAAAATTCAACTACCAAAAGTGGAATTAAACTCTCCTAAGTATACGTGTAAGTATATAAAAACCAGAGGGCTAAACTTGAAAGGAATTTATGCTACTTGCAAGGTTAAGAATGTCAAGTCATTAGAACACACTGCGATGCTGAAATTGCTGTCACAATACTGCAAATTACTCTTGGCTATTTCAGAACCCAGTAGTTTCTGCTGTTTTCATCTCATAAAATCCCAAGTTAAAGAACACCACTAGATATTATTCTAGGTTTTTACCTGGGCTGGATGCTCCTAAACTGACTACCACAGCCCAGGGAGAGCAAATAAACTTAACAGTGGCAGACCAGCATTTTAATGAGGGACTCCTGTCTGAATGCTTAATGCATTGCCAGTGCACTCCTTACAAAATTGTTGAGAGGATTAAAGGCTTGTAAAACATCTAGTTGAACACCCAGCCCACAGTAGGTACTCAAAAATATCAGTTTTCAGGATGCCGGGGTGGCTCAGTCAGTTAAGCGTCTGCTTTCGGCTCGGATCATGATCCCAGGATCCTGGGATCAAGTCCCGCACCAGGTTCCTTCCTCAATGGGGAGCCTGATTCTCCCTCTGCCTGCTCTGCCTGCTGCTCCCCCTGCCTTGTGCTCTCTCTGATAAATAAAATCTTAAAAAAAAAAAGTCAGTTTTCCCTCCTCTTCCCACCAATTTTCAATTCTTTTGAATTAGAGTACCATGCTGGATAAACCTTAGCAGAGAAGGAGAAGAAGAGAAAAGAAAAAGAATGTCACTTTTTGTCTAGATCTCGCCATGAAATCCAAGCTGCAGTTACTCTTACTTAATTAAAGGAACTCCACACTGTATTAAGAGGGTAAGACAGTCTCACAGCACATAAGCGTTGGCCACCTAACTTTCCAAGAAAATATTGTGGCCTAATGCTCAAAGCTTTCTCTGCTATTCTTGACTACATAAAAAAGTTTGACTAATTTTTAAAAGTACATTACATGCTGGGCACCTGGGTGGCTCAGTCGGTGGAGCACCTGACTCTAGGTTTCAGCTCAGGTCATGATCTCAGAGTTGTGGGATGGATCAAGCCCCCCATCGGGCTCCACACTCAGTGGGGAGTCTGCTTGAGATTTGTTTCTCCCTCTCCTTGTCTCTCCCTCCCCCTAAAATAAATAAATGAATCTTTAAAAAAACAAAAATAAACAAACAAAAAAATGCTCATTGTTGAAAATTTGAAAAATATAAATAGGATACCAACTATAATCCTATTATGCTAATTGGTTATTTTTTTTATAAAAGCTGCTCTACTTATCCAGTTGGTTATTTAAAGAAAGAGAATTTAAGTACCTCAATGACCCAGGTACTGTTTGGGCATGGTACCTTATGTAATTCTCCAATTCTCTAGTGTTCTATCACATGATAATCGGTAAGAGAATTAACCAATTCTTCTATATTGGGAATTTCTAGTTTTTCACATTCCCCTAAATCAGACCAGTAAACATTCTGATTACCAATTCCTATTTTGGTTTTGTTCTTTAGTTAAAATGATACTGGGGCACCTGGGTGGCTCAGTTGGTTAAGCATCTGACTTCGGCTCAGGTCGTGATCTCAAGGTCCTGGGATGGAGCCCCATGTCAGGCTCTGCATGTCAGGCTCTGTGCTCAGTGGGAAGTCTGTTCATCCCTCTCCCTCTGCCCCTCCCCCTGCTCATGTGTACCTGCTGGTCTCTCATAAATAAATAAATCTTAAAAAAAAAAAAATGATACTATCGTTACAATTTTGTACATAGGCATTCTACTAAATACCTGACCAGTACTCGTGAAAACTGTCAGTGTAATCAGAAACATGAAAAGTCTGAGAAATTGTGACAGTCTAGAGGAACCTAAACAGACATGTTAATATAATGTGGTATCCTGGATGGGATCATGAGACGGAAAAAGGTTATCAGTAAAAATAAAGAAATCTGAATATAGATTAAGTTATTATAATGTATCAATATAGGTTCACTACTTAAGACAAATATGCCACACTAAGCTAAGATGCTAATAATAGGGGAAACCTGATGCAGGGTATCTGGAACCCTCTGTACTACCTCAGCAACTTTTTTGTAACTATAAAACTATTCTAAAATTTAAAGTTTTATTTAAAAATAAAAAGCAAAGAGTATCTTTTATTTATTTATTTTTAAAGATTTTATTTATTTGAGAGAGACAGAGACAGCGAGAGAGGGAACACAAGCAGGGGGAGTGGAGGAAGGAGAAGCAGGCTTCCTGCCAAGCAGGGAGCCCGATGAAGGGCTCGATCCCAGGGCCCCAGGATCATGACCTGAGCCAAAGGCAGACGCCCAATGACTGAGCCACCCAGGCACCCTGCAAAGAGTATCTTTTAAAAGAATACTATTTCTCATAATTAAAGGTAGGATTCATAGGGCACCTGGGTGGCTCAGTTGGTTGAGCATCTGCCTTTGGCTCAAGTCATGATCCTGGAATTCCAGGATCAAGCCCTGAGTCGGGCTTCCTGGTCAGCGGGGAGTCTGCTTCTCCCTCTCTGCTCCTCACCCCACTCGTGCTCTCTCTCTCTAATAAATAAGATACCTGAATTAAAGAAAAAAACAATTGGGGGAAGATCAGTAATGACCAAGGCAAGATACAAAACGCTAAAATGCATAGAATCCCCTAATTTATGTTGGGATGAACAAGATTCCTTAGGAAAAGGACGATACAGAGAACTGAGGTGCCTGGGTGGCTCAGTCAGTTAAGCATCTGCCTTTGGCTCGGGTCATGATCCCAGGGTCCCGGGATCGAGCCCCATGTCAGGCTCCCTGCTCAGTGGGGGGTCTGCTTCTCCTTCTCCCTCTGCCCCGCCTTGCTCATGCTCTCTTGGCTCTTTCTCTCAAATAAATAAATAAAATCATTAAAAAGAAAAAATACAGAGAATTAAAATATACGTAACTTCAAATTTTAATATTTTCAAAATCTTGCAGTGATTTCATACTAAGAGTTTACCTCAAATTTAATAACAATTAATTGAGAAAATTTCCCTCTCACCATTAGCTGCCGCCAGAAAGGATTTGTTACTGCCCCGAGCCTTATTGGTCAAGTCTTCAGTTATGTCCATGTGCCGGTGGATTTCTTCACGCATTTCTTCCAGAATTTTGCAGAGTTCTGCTTCCCAGTAATCTTTATCTAGACAGTCAATTAATTCTGCAAGTTGGACCTTTGTGCTGTAGTACCAAATTTTCTTCTCATTTTCATTTTCTGTATCTTCTTCTCTGTTTAAAAGAAGTACAAAAACACTTTCTATGTTAGACATAATGGCACTGATTTGACAACGGCCATCTATCCAGGGAAAGTTAGAATATGTAACACAAAGTCTGCCCACTAAAGCTCAGTATATCTGCTCACAAGAAATCACCTCACGTCTCATTCTAACTCAAGTTACTTTTACTTTAATTGAGCAATCTCTAATTATTTTGCTTTCCTAGCCCACAGCAGCTTATGATAAAATAATCTGTGAGTAATAGTGGGGAGAGAGGATGGGGGGCGCCTGGGTGGCTCAGTCAGTTGAGCATCCAACTCTTGTTTTCAGCTCAGGTCATGATCTCAGGGTCATGAGATTGAGCCCCACATTGGGCTCTGTGCTCAGTATAGAGCCTGCTTGGGATTCTCTCTCTTTCCCTCTCTCTCTCTGCCCCTCCCCACTCGCTCTCTCTCTCAAAATAAAAATAAAATAAAATCTTTAAAAAACAAAAGTAGTGGGTAGAGAAGAATTAGTATAGCAGCAAAGAAAGATATCTAAGGGTGCCTGGGTGGTTCAGTCGGTTGAGCATCTAACTTTTTTTTTTTTTTT